AACTTAAATCCTTCACATCATAATCATATAAGCAGTTATCCTATAAATGAGACAATACAAATCAATCACTTAAAATTAAACATAATACTTTAGCAAACCCTGGCTAAATCTTTAAACCTATTACATAACGTTAGAAAAAAAATTAGCATTTTAGCAAAAAAAAAAAAAAAAAAAAATCAAACTAAACAATCAAAATGTCTTACGGTTGTCATACGGCTCATAACGTCAGTCATGCTTCACTCACTGGGGAATATTATCATGTCATTTTAAGTCACGTCATCAATAAACTCAGCATAGTCTTTTAGTCTACACATAATGTTATGGTTCCATTTTGTTGACACATAAACTACCGGATGTGCATATTCACTCTCCGACTCAACAATTAGCTCTAGCTGCAATAGCTCATCTATTTGTCGATCAAACTTCATTTCTTAGAACTTCAGGTATTCGATACGGTTTCTGCTTTCTTGGCATACTTCCAGGTTTCAGTTTGATGCTGTGTTCTCTCACATTGGCGATTTTCGGAATACCAGTTCTTAGGTTCTTATGCCTTCCTAAAATTTTCACAAGTTCTTTCTTCTTATGCGTTTCAAGCTGCGTAAAATCACATTCTTCATTAGAATAGTGTTCTTTTGCTTTCCATGGAACAATTCTTGGAACGTTTCCAACTTTGCCGAAATCAATATCTGTATCGTATATCACACCGACATTATTCACAGCGGTATTGAACTCTCGTATCTTGTTTGCGTGAACATGCTTCGATGAATTGTCAGGCATTTGTACTATGTAACTTTAGTATGCTTTTTGATGATCGTAGCAGGTCCCGTCCATCTGGCATAAACTTTGTTTTGGCTATCAGGGATTAAAACTATAACCCTGTCACCTTCCTTGAATTCTTTATGACGAGTCTTTCGGTTACGGTAGAATGCATAAGCTTGTTGCTTTCCAACATCTGTAAGTCCTGCGTATTCAGCAGCTTTTCCAATTTCGTCTTCAAATCATTCAGATAATCTTTCTGGTTTCACTGAACTTCTCAACGTGCCATGAGGAACAGTTAAGTCCATGAGGAACAGGAGTTTCATTAGTCCATGACGATTTCAAAATAGACAACGGGCCATTAGGACGTCTTCCATAAAGCATTTGGAACGGACTAACACCAGTCGTAGCATTAGGAACTTCTCGATAAGCCCAAAGTAAGTATGGTAGATGTTTCTCCCAATCTTTGGAATGTTCCCTAACGGTATGATGTATCATTCCCTTTAAAACAGCATTAAATCTTTCTATCAGGCCATTTGAACTTGGATGATAAGGAGTCGAGAACCTTGGGGACGATCCTTTTCAAAAACTCTCGGGTCAACGAAGCAGTAAAATTAGTTCCTTGATCTGAAGCAACAATCTGAGGAATTCCTGTGCATGAAAAGATTTGCAACAATGCATCGCATGTTGCTTTGGCATTCAAATTCTTCAATGGCACCGCTTTGGGCCACCTTGTACATATATCAAAGCACACAGAATATATTTTAACCTCTACAGCTCGGTTGTACAGGTCCTAGGATATCCACATTAATTACCTGGAATGGTTCTTTAGGACGTGTTACTGGCGTAATCGGAACTTCATCAAAGGGACGCTTTTTCGCTTGAAGTTGACAAGAAGTACAAGCACTGCAGTATTCATTTACATCTTTCTTGATTTCAGGCCAATAGAACGAATATCTCAAACGTTCGGCTGTCTTCTTGGTTCGCAGGTGACTTCCCCATAAGCTAGAATGAGCTAAGTCCAAAATTTGTTTTCTTCTTTCTTTAGGAACGACTAACTGGTAAACTCTTTCTCCTAGAACTTTATCTTTATGATACAAAAAGTTGTCAATAACAATAAAGTTATTACTTCCGTTTCTTAACATTTTGCCAGCATGTTTTTAAAGATGGGTCATTCATTTGTTGCACTCGAAACAGTTCTGAATCCGAAACACATTGATCGTGTCCCGTGCTACCTTTGGAATCATCCTTACCTGTATCTTCATATACAAGAGCACAACATTCTATTATCTTCTTAACAGTTTCATTACATTTTTCATTAATTAGGTTTTCCCTATCATGGTTAAGTATTTCGTCAAAATTTTCAGTTTCATGAAAAGGCATTTCACCGAAACTATCAGTAGCAAATGTTTACATTTCTACATTCAAAATTAAACTTTCTTTTATCATCTCCCCTTAACTCATTAAAAGTATTTAACGACAAGAGTAAATCATTACATAACTTATCCACCATTGCACATGTTATAAAAATAGGTGACATAAATTTATCATTTTCAGAATACATTACTAAAGGTAGGTTAATGAGAGGAGCTTTTAAAGCTTGCCCGAAAGCTGACGTGAGGATAATACCATTACGTTCCATGTGGTGTATTATTAATTCTTTAACTTCTTGATTCGCAGTAAAATATTTAGAAGAAATCTTTGCAGTTACAGCGTTAGAATTATTCTTAATTTCTTCTTTAGCAACCCTTTCCTTATCTTCATGCGACAATATATTATGATACTTAGAATTACATTTTAAACATTTTAATTGAGAAGGGCAATTTTTTATTCTACGATTCCTTTCGAAACAAAGAAAGCACCGATTAGAAGCCCTTAAACTCTTTTTTTCTTTCTTCCGGAGACATAACGCATTTTTCCGAAGCATGATTTTCGCTTTCGCAAAATAAGCAAGGGGAAAGTTCGAACAACTGCAATTTTGCTTACATTAGGGGAATAGCTGGCGCCAAATTTGTTGGCGTTGAATGAATTCCGAGTGTGGAAGTTGTTTCGCTTTTCATTTGGTTGTGAATGCCTTCCAAGAGAATTAGCGTGACTCTTAGAATAAAATAAATTTAATGAAGTTCGTTCGCGACTTTCAATTTCCCGTTTTAGAAATTTCATGAGGTTGTCGACATTAAAAGTTTCCTCATCTGCGTTTTGACGAGCAAAATCAAGCGTTATATCCTGAGGTATGCATTTCATTAACAAAGGGTATAGTAACTTTCCATACGATTCGGTCTTGACCCCTATCGAATTTAGTGACCTTACTTGTACGTTGCAGGTATCATATAATTCCCTCAAAGAATTAATGTCATTAGAACTTCGGACAGGCCGTAAATTAAATAAAAGTTTATGCATGTAAGAATTAATAAGGAGATCTTTTCGACCATACCTCTCTTTGAGAATTTTAAAAGCTTCGTCGTAGTTTTCTGGAGATAAAGAAAAGCCTTCTATTGTTTTTAAAGCTGCAACCGCCTAACAGGCTAAGCAAGTAATTAAACTTATCTACTTTAGATAGTTTTTCGTTTTGATTTATTGCCGTGTCAAAAGAATTGTAAAATGTCTGCCACATTTCAGCATTCCCATAAAATTTATCAATCATAATCTTTGGCAATTTAACATTATAATCAGAACTTTTATCGACACCAGAAATAGATAAATTGTTACTATCATTAGAAGAACCATTAGAAACTAGCGAATTATTGCTATTTCTTTTTTCTTTCAATAATTTTGTGCCTCTAAAGCTCCATTTCGAAATTTTTTCTTCGTATTCCAAGGCACTTTCGATTTCGGTTTCAATGTCATTAACATCAGTCAAAGTTTTAATTTTTTCGTCTAACGCTCTCAAAGAAATAGCTTTTACTTTTAAACTTTCCAGTGATTCTTCAAGGTCTTCAAGGTTACCGGCTGCAATTAATGATTCAATAGCATTTGTTACTTTAGTAATGGCTGAACGAATAACTTTCCGTTCTTTCTTAGATTTCGTTAGCTCTTCAGCCATTTTTGTAACCTTGAATTCCACTTTACCACAAAATAAATTGAACAAATTTCTTACCTTTCTGAAGACTCACTTACGCATTTATCCGTGAACTTTGCAGAATGACATATCCTCCTGTTCTGACACCACTGTCATATCCTTCTTCCTCGACGTGTAGATTCTGGATATGTATTTAATTCCTACCGTAGACGTATCGTATGTGTGCGTTGCATAAAACAGCCATTTTAACGGCACAAAACTTTATTAACACACAAAATAAAATAATAAGTACAAACGATTAACATACAAGTATAACTGCGTATTTTGCATCTAAGCTGACATACAACACGTTTCCTTCGTTACTTCGCTACTACCTACTAACTACTCTTCTCTAGTAAGCCTCATGAGAGAGAGGCGTTGCAGGCCGTTCGGCTAAACTGCGCATGCATGGTCACGACAAACGCCTTCTCCGATGGGCAGGCGTTAGAGGTACACACCGTACAGGGCGTCGTGCAAACAGACCACCACCATGCAGTCTTCTGGCCACGGTAAAACGCGATATTGGTCATCCAGTCGCCTGTGTCATGTGTCTAGCGATTTCTCCCGCTGTCTGCCGCCTGTTTCTTCTGGCCTGTAAGGCAATATACCGGTCATCTGCGGGTGTGGTTCCTCGTGGACGACCACTACTAAACCCCCGAATAGCTGTTCCTGTAGTTTGAAATTGTCTCCAAAGTCGTGAAACAATGGTGTGAGCAATTCCGAACTCTGCAGCCACACTTGTCACACTGCGGCCTTCCTCCAACTTCCCAATGATTCGACCTCAGGTAAAAGCATCCAGATGTCGTCTAACAGATTGATTATTTGCCATTTCTCGCTGAGGCAGCAACTCAGTGTGATTTTAACTGCTATACGGCATGCAATCTCTTTGCCAGAAATACTGATCTTACACCGACAACATGCTTTACACTACTCAGACACTTTCCCCATTACGTCTACCTGCATATCTGCGCATGTGCTACCGTACATCACCTTACTTAATCTCCTGATTGGTCTTTCTGTCCGCTCTACCTCTTCGTTCAGCTGATATGCTACTTTTTCGACTTCTTCCTTAATTTTTGCACACCAGTGTAGTTCATCAGAATTAACTACTGTTTAAAAGTTTAGAATCAAATTATAAAAGGAAAAGAAATGCATTCATTAATCTAATGAACTTAACAAAAAGTACCTTTTGGGCAAAATTCACGGCTTTGGTACCTTTCTTTGCCACATAACAGAAGTATGCCATAGCAATCCATGGTTCAGGAACATTGTCATTAATGGAGATCAAATGTGCAGTTAAACTGTAAAAAAGTATTTCAGAAGCATTTAAGTTTGTGACACACATATATATAGGGGGAATCATTTTTTAAATGAAAGAACCATTTGAAGATGCTTATTTTAAAATTTACGCAATGACATACAATTCTAAAAATTATCTAGAGCTTTCTAAATATGCTTTTAAAAATTGAAAACATTGTTGAGGTAACACAATAAAAGTTCAGGTATTCAGTATTAATGACACAAGTTAAAATTACAATTTTAACAATTCCAATACAGTTAATTAAAAACTACACTTCATTATTTCAGAAATTATAATAAACTGATATTGAAAATACTTTAGCTAACCTTTTTTGTCAGACGCACCACATAAATTTTGTTTTAATACTCACTGTTTTGGGACACAAAAATTACAATTCTAATATTATATCTGATACAGCATATGTAAGATTGAAAATGCATTACTTCATTTAAATATTGAAGTTGAACAGCTATAATTCACAATTATGTGTTGCCTTATACTTTTTTTAATAAGTATTAAGTTTTATAGGCCTTTTTTTATCTTATTAGGAATAGGTCATTCTTCAAGGTCGGTGTGCAGTCTGCAGATATAACTTAAGAAAAAAAAAGTCATCAAATGAACTTTCAGCAAACAATTTTAATAACTTACTTTCACTTTTGTACATGTTTCAGTTATTACTCACAATACTGTGCATCAGGTTTAACAGACAGCTTGTAAGAACATTAAATATCATGAACATTAAAAAGTGTGCATATTGATAATGCATTTTTCTCATGTTTTGTAAATGAAGTTATTATTTATAAGTACTATGTACATCAGGTTTTTATTTGTAGCTAAACTGCATGACAACGAAACAAGCATTAGATACTAATCTATGACTGCAGTGAGTAGTTTCCAGTTTTAATTTAATAATGATATGGAATTGATGAATAATTCTTTATTTAATTATTGCAACATGTTATAACTTGTATGTTGGTGGTGTTGGACATATATGCCATGAGACATAAACTGAAAAAAGTAAAAAACGTGAGATTTTTTAATAGGTTTCTCGTCAAGTCAATACTGTTGAAAATGTTATATCTCTAAATGCATCAGTAAAACATTTATTTTGAAAGGCAGGATATACAACAAATTTATAATTAGAAGGTAAAATGATTCTAGAGATCAGAATTTTTATGAATTTATACATTTTTAATTTTATTTGGAAGATGTTATACATATTTTTGATAAAATAATTTCTTTTCTGTGCTATCAAAATAGAATAATTTACTACATATAAAGATAACATATGAACATACATCAGTAGCTATTATTAACTATTCAAAGTTTTTTTTATTTTTCACTTATTTAAATATTAATTCCCATTTTAATTTCATTTATCTGATTTTTATACTTAAATTATATTTATTTTCATATTTAGATAATTCCTATTCATGAGGCAAAGCTGGATTAACACACTTTGACTTACCTATGTTTTATTATTATTATTATTTCTTTGAAAGCATACAGACTCCCCGTGCACCACATATGTACAACACGGGGCTTACAGAAGTAAGTTAACTGAAACATTAAAAGTTACATGAATACCTGCCAACCTCTAAAGATAAAAATTCAGAAGATTTTCTCCCAAAATTCAGAAGAACACGAAGAATTAATATCATGCTTTGATATTAAAAAATAACAATTTATACAAATAGAAAAAAGAAAATTGTACTTACATTAGTAAATCTCAATTAAGTAGTAACTAAAAAATTTATTAGGAAACATAAAACAAGAACTTAATGTTACACAAAAAAATTATTGCAATGAATTTAGAGTGCATTTTTTGGCTTTAGCCAAAAATTCTTTGGAAAATTTCCTGTCATAACAATTAGTTTCTTCCTCATAACATTTAGCAATTAAAATGTTTTCTAGAGTTTTTGGTGAAATTGAAGAACGAAACATAGTTTTGTTTTTTCTTCACAACACTGAAGACTCTCTCGCACTCAGCATTACTGTGTGGAATTACGAGAATAGCACATAAAACTCTTTACAACTCGCTTTAAAATGGAAGACGCAAAAGATAGTTTTTCATTTCATTAGAAACATCACAGAAATATGTGACAACGATGGGTAAAGCTTCCAAAATGACATCGGCATCCGAATTCGTAGCCGAATTTGAAAAAAAAAAAATCATCCACTTTCTTTGACGTTGTCGAAGCCGAAGCATTAACTTCATGCTTTTTAGACTTAACATGCTTCACAATGTCGCTTCTTCCACCGTGACTTATTATGAAGTCACACACGCACACGTTGCAAAATGCATAGTTATTTCCTTTGAAGGATTCTTTAATTGTTGGAAATTCGGCTTTGTAGGCAGGCCGAAAATATTGAGAATACGGTTTTTTTTTTAACTCATTTCGTAACAACGACGTATTAAGAAAATTCGTAGCACGTGCAAACAAAAAAAAAAAAAAAAAAAACAGAATGCGACAATCCACGCTCGCTGAGTCCGAGCTGAGTAATTCCCTTGCTGCTGAAGCGAACGCGAAAAAATAATCTAGCACCCACAAAGAAAAGAGTGGGAGAAACCGCAGGTTACTGGATTCGAAGTAGTCGGTAGTTGGCGGTAAAACACGATTTGGCAAAAATCGCTGAATTGGCGAAAAATTCTAAAATTTCGACAAAAATCACTAAAAACACTTGAAAAAGGAAAAAAATCATAAAATGTTTGATGTAAAATCATAAGAAAATTTTCAAAAAATAATGGAACAAACAGAGAAAGCAGTCTGGAAAACATAAGTTCACTGGCCAAGTCACTCCGAATTTTAAACTTCTTAGCATAATCTAGGGCCATCAAGTAGGGCATGATAAATTAAATATCAATCTGAGCCTCTTTTGAACATTCACATATTATTTAATCTTAGATTAAATCAAACAGGTAAGTTACAAATTTTTTAAATTTGTATTCAAACAGCCAGATAAAAACTGAGTCACTTTAAAATTTATAGAGAGGAAAGACTCGGAATGCAGTCTATGGTAAATAGAAGGAAAGAACATTTTGATGACCTCAGCATTACAAGATGAAATATATTCCTCATTCGCCCCATAAATTTCGCAAAATGTTACAAATACAACAGGGAGGGGGAAGACTAATAATCCTTCAAAATATATGAAATAAATTAATGAATTAAAATAAAAAAAAAAAAAAAAAAAGATCCTCTAGAAGTTCAGTTTGTATTCAAACGGCTTAAAATAAGTTTTGGTGAATATCTCTACTTGTCCACTTCGAGTCCTAATTTGAAATGACTGCCAAAATACTGTTGTGTGCATACAGGTTCACAATAGATTGAATGCAAATTTTTCACAGAAATACTGATACAGGTGTTCAGAGTATCACAGAGTACAATCAGTAACTACACTTCGAAATACTAAGAACGTTAAACACAATACAATGCAAAACGCATCTAAAGACAAAGATATTTTAATACTTTCTCTTTACCCGGAGATATTTCAATACTCTGAACTCACACTGATCTAACAACTCACACTAACAATAACTGAGAGCAGACACTCTCTCTGGCCTTATATAGTTTTCACCCAGCTGCTAAGATATTTCTAGCACACTCTGCTTCTTGGAAGGCAATATGAAGGTTGAATTATGGTTACAGCTCAATATAATGATCAATTATATTAATTCAATTACAATACCTATTATGGTGATACAATACATATGATGTGGTAAACGGACTAGACCAAAATCTCGCCAAGTTTGGCAATTTTGGGTGATTTCTCACCAAATTTGGGGACAAAAGTTTGTCACAAAACCATATTGCCAACACATTTACTCAATGTTAAATGGATTTGCCTTTGTCTTTTTACTTTTCCACCACAGCTTGTCTCTAGACTTTTTAACGTTACATTACACAGTAAAATATAATTCCACATTTAATTGCACTAACATCATCTACCTATGTACAAAATTCATAACAATACATTATATACTTAAGATGTAACAAATAAAAATAAAAAACTAAAATAAATTTTAAAAAAAACCTGGAAAGAAAAAAGGAAATTTAAAATTGCAGAATTACCTTTCTAATTCTTTCATTTTTTTCTCTTTTGCTAATAGTGCTGCATAAACATCCATTCCTCTCACTAACAAGGGATCAGAACAATGAGCCTTAAAAAAGAGAAAGACACAGAAGTAAGCCATACATTATACTTCATTTTAATTTAATAAAGGGTTATAAAAATAATAAAAAAAAAGTATCACAAGAGTTTAGAGGTTACAATGTCTGTACAGTTCACTGTTCTGCTACAAAATTGGACAGATACATAAAATAACAAATTTTGAACAGGCTTTTATATGCAAATGTTTATTTTAGTTAGAAATCGTTCAATTAATTCAATTTATCTAAAAAATGTACATCTAAAGCACGAAAAAGAGTTTATACCCTTTTATCTCATTACTCTTGCAATTACATACAGATTATCCTTATAATCATATACAAATATAAATTTTTATAAGGAAAAGCAGTGCACTAACTCAGTTGCATTTTAACACTAGACATTATTGATTAATCATTTGTTTAACTACACAGAAACTAAGAATATTTATTATTTACATCTAATGCTGTTTCTCATATTTCATGCAAAAATGCAGTCCTACTGTAATGAATTCCAATAATGCAGAAGCATCATTAAATATGCGAAATAAAGAATAAAATTTTATGAATTCACCAAACTTAACATTTTTATTTGAAATGAAATAAATTTGAAAAAATATTACAAGTTTTAGTATTTTTGTAAGTAAATTCGTTGATTATATAAAATTATAAAAAATTAAGTATTACATTAATTTTTTCATACAACATTAAATAAACTATCCTAGGTCCCTATACACATGTGTTAACACTATACTGTGCCTAATGATGAGACATACACTGGGAAGTTAAGTAGTATCATCCAATGCATGTTATGATCCAATAAAAGGAACATGAACTCTTATTAAATATGGTACACCAACTACTACTCTCAAAATGAATATATAACACAAGCTAAGCTAAATCTGACATGAAATCAATGCTCATTAATGAGCATTTTATCTCTGAGGTTTTACCAAGGTTCTTTAATATTAAAGGTTAGGCGAGGAACGGAAAAAGCGGGCCATTGGTTGCTGGTAGTGATGTCACCCGGGTAACAAGATACATGGGTCGGTGCGTCTCCTACATGATTTTGGGAATGGAAAAAATGTAAACTAAAGCAAAATGATCATTTTATTTAGTTTCTAATACCCGAAACGTTATATACTTTATTTGCATTGTTAAAGAATGTGTATTTTAACACAGAATTCGTACGAATGCTGAAATATTGTAAACATTACATCCTTACTAGTGGATGGTGCTTTAAAAATTATTCTTTAAGTTTTGTGTTTCAATAAGAATTTTATAGATATACGTTTATACTCAGTTTAAAATATATTTCAAAGTTTAATTATTTAAATTATCTTTTAAACATATTATATTTTAATAAGATTTAAAATCCTCCTTGCGCGTAATTTCATATTCTTTCCTATTTTTAGTTGTCAAGATGACAAGGTTTTGTGTATCGTTATTGAATATGATGGATCAGAACTTTTAAAAAGATTTTTGTGAACTTAAACCCATTTTCGGAAAACCTTTCTGTAACATTATCACAAGTTTAAACTTTTTAATAACCTCATATCCCAAAATGCAGACACGATCATTGTAAATATAACAAATAGTTTCTTCCAATATATTTATTTTGACTAAAAAAAGACGCATGGAGCATTTCAAGACATAACCTGCGAAAAAATTTTTTTGAGAAACCGAGTTTAAAGTTTTCCTTCAAAAAAATTACCTTTAAGAATGGTCAGAGAAACGAATTTAACTTAATCTGAATATGTAGACATAGAAAATTTTGTATCATTTAACTTTTTTAATTTTAAATTAATTAGAAAATAAATCAATGGCACATTCGTTTCCTGATTCGAACGTTGAAGATTTGATTGGATAAGTAATATGGCAAAGCACACGAGGCTATCTGACTAAAGGGGGGATGCCTCGCGGAGGACTTTCTAAGCGACGTTTGAAGTAGAAACAATGTGATTATATCCAAGCAATTTTTAAAATTCCTGGCATCATATGTTCACTTCATGTTAGATTACATTATCTTTTAATATTTACAATTTTTTTTAATATTTCTGTTTTCCCCCCCCCCCCCACGCAGTAAACTCTCTTTTTGCTTTGTTCAAGCGACGTGATCATGCTTTTTTGCAATGAGTAGAGAAAACAAGATTGTGCCTCCTTCTGGCTATCTATAGCATTTAATAAACAAGTTAAATCATACTGATAGTTTGTTTAGCTTTTTTTCCAAAATAAACACTTCTTTTGAGCAACTTATAAATATTACATCAGTAATAACTGTTGAAATACCATTCTTTAATTTTTCTCCAGATTTAAAGAGCAAAGTTTACATGTTTTACACTTTTAAAGCTTGTAACTTATTAAAAATTAGAATATTTAACTCGGATTTTTGCATATGATTGTATTCGTAAATGGAATAGTGTGAGAGAAAAAAAAAAATTCAAATTTTTCGGGTGATTTTTAGCTTATTTTAAGTCCACGTCCCTTAAAGAAAGCCTTAGAAAAAAACATATTTAGTTTAAGAAATAAATGTTGTAAAACAAGGTATTTTGAATATTTTTGTTTGGCTGCATTAAATATCTTGTTGAATAGAACACATGAAGGCATAAACTAAAACTGGTAATAATATGATCCAAATGTATTCCTTTTATTTTCACTCATGATTTTAATACTATGAACTTTGACATTCCAGCAGAATTATGATCGTATTTTCAGTTTAATTAAAGCAAAAACATAAAATTAAATCAACAAATTATTTAGTACCCTTAACAAATTTCTTATATCACATCCTTATACTTTTAAAGGCTTTATCTTAAAATACATCATCAATAAATATTTTACTTATACTATCACTTCAGTTCAGCAGAGTGCATATATTTCAGTATTATCTAATGACTCTTATATCCCTACACTCCAAGATTCATATAACTTATCTGGCATGTTTATTTGTCTAGCAAATAATCTTCGATTTTTCACCCCGTTATTGATCTCGGTCTTGAAATCGGTTTTCGGTACTTTTCAAAGAACGTTACTGAGTACGGTATTTTGTACCGGGTACTTTTCTGTACCCGTTACTCTCGTACCGGGTAGAAGAAAGTACTGAAGTTGCCCATCACTAACTACAATGGATAAAGTATGCTGTGAATGGAAACTAGAATATGGAAGAATATCTTATAGAGTGTGAATCATGCTGTAAGTAGTGTAGATCTAACTCATGTGTGTACACGTAGTGATTGCCAGAATACTACTTCACAATATGTTATCCTCAATGAGAAGTTTGATGGTGAAATAGTTCTTATATAGGTCTATTTTTCTTGATCTGCTAGATTTTTTGCTCAGAAACCAGAATGTTGAAGGCTAAGTGGCAACAATGGATAATTCCTTTCTTCTGTCCCATAGCTAAAATTCAGAACTAGCACATTTCTTTTTAGCATGATGAAATGTCCATTCATCAAGTTCATTCCTGCATGGTTTGAGGAAATGAGAGTAGGTGAACTCAACTGGACAAACTGAAGTCCCATTTTCAATCCATTTTTTAACATCTCTGGAATCAGGTGGAGCATAAGTTATGAGCCAGAACAAACTGGCCACAAACCAATATGTAGCTGTTCCCCATACACAGTTTTGCACTGTTCCTTCCCATAGTGGAACAGTGCAAAACAATCATAGATGCTGACACAAACTTAATTGAAAATCTTATTCAAATAGTAGAAGCTATGGCAGCTGTAAACTGAGGACTTACAATGCACTAACATTATTTAAGATATTCAGACAAGCATACTGCTGCGTTTTAATATATTCATATGTATGTTGTATCACTATAAGATAGTGTAGATCATAAAATTGCACTCAAAATAATTTTAAAAATTATTTAAGCTTTTTGGAATTAAAATATTCTGGATATTAAGACTTTATAGGATGCACAATAATATAAAGAGAAATAACTTGAATTAATATATAAAGAACAGAAAGTTGTCAAAGAAAAGGGAACTTACCCTCTCTAATATTAACATGGCATTTTGAAAATCTCCATTATAATAGTAAGCTTCACCAAGTGAAACAAGAACGTCACTGTTATCTCTTAAATGAGTCTGAATGGAGGGGAAAAAGAAATAACTAACTTTAAACATTTGATCCAAACACATTACATTATAATAATAATGTCTTATTTAATGCACCAGTAAAACAAAAATCGTAATATATGCATTTTTTAACTGAGTTTCTCAAATTTGGCAGATAGCCTCGATAAAAGAAATATTTTAACAGTCCTTCTACAGCTGATTTCATTTTCATGTTACAAAGCACTGATACTTTATGAAATTTACATTAAATTTATATGATTTTATTCACCAAGTTTTAATTTTTAAACAACATTTAATAAAATAATACATAAAAGATATCAGAAAAAATGGCCGACTATCATGAGTATTTTATTCTCTTGTTTATTTAATAACTTAGAAGTTTAAGTAGTTAATAAAACTGAAGAGCATTTATTATTTGACTTTAAAGTAAACCCTCTTATTTTAAAGAAATCATAGAATAGAATTTGTCAACTTTAATTTGATTTTATAGCAAAATGAAAAGTGACAAATATATTACATATGCCAAGCTACACTATATAAAAATACAAATTAAAATCCAAAACTATGAATGACCAGATCATTCTCCATCTCAGAAGACAAGATGATATATTTTGGGGAAATAGGAGTACTTAATCTACAAGTGTACTTCATTTACAACTAAACATAGAATTTTCCATTTTCAAACACTCAAGTTTAGTTCACTCAAACACTCAAGTTTAGTTCAATTGAATGTTTTTGACTTTCAGTTATTTAAAAACAATAAGAAATGAAAAACATTTTTAATACATTAAGCAATAGTTTTTAATTAATAAAAGTTCTACACTAACTGAAACATTTTTCTATTCCACAGTATAATAGATTGTTTTCATCTTCGACCCAATATCTTAGGTTGCAAAGTTTTTTTTAATACATAGTATATAATTAATAATTATCGGTATATTTAATTGCCAATATATTTGTTACATGCTACATTTCAGGATTGTCACTTTTAAAGTAGATTAAAAAATTTCTGTATCTATCTTTAGCATCAAAGTGTAGTGTAAATCAGAAAGTAACACATTTACTATGCATGAAAGATACAAATATATAGACACAGATATTATAAAGTATGAAATAAAAATATAATAAATGGCTTTACGGATATTATTTGTCTTTATACAGTGGCATATCTATATAAAATGGCATCCATGGCAAGAAATTAAATTGCGTCCCCTTTAGAATATTTAAAAATACGTTTACCTCTTTTTAATTTGGTTTCAAGGATACCAAGTGCACCAACTAGTGCTCCCTGCCAATGGCATGCATTGCAAATGTTCTGCCTGCCATACCTAGATATGCCCCTGCCTTTATGGCAAGAAAATCATGTTATATTATATGTCAAATATGTTATATATATTTTGCTGCTATTAACACTGAATTTACACAAATGGCTTCACAGAAACTCTCTGTACTTACAGCAGAAAAACAACAAATTTGTTGCAACTAATTCACCTATCATCAACATTGAATTGAAGTCTCATTCACAAAATCAGCTATTTTCACTTTGCTGGTCAAGCGAAGATATGTTGATAGCTATTGTCCCACCATAGAAATGGGTTTTTCCATTAAGGCCACTTACTTTTTATAACAAATATAATTGAAAAGTGGTAATAGATCATAATTATGCATATCATACTAATTACTAAGCAATATTTAGATCTTTCCTGATAGAATATTTTGACTACGTGACAGTGCATGATAGGCACTACAGGTAAAATTATCTTGCAAATGCCAAATTATGGGGTGGCACATGATGTGTAAAAATGAGAAAAATTAATGAAAATAAGGGACAAAATGCATTATTTTTGTATGATACTTTATCATTTACAAATGTAAATTAAACAAAATAATGAAAATAAGGGACAAAATGCATTATTTTTGTTTGATACGTTAACATGCTTTTAATATAAAAGAATTATTGTAAGTTGGTTACAATGATATTATTACAGTAAACAATACTTTTAAATATTTTATTTATGTCACCTTCGTACAATCTACGCAATAACCGGGAAATTTATCACAAACTTTGCAGATATAAATAGCATCTTTTAGTTTTGCCTGGGAATAGCAACTTTTGCAATATCTTCCCATCTTCCTATCGTTTGAGTATATTCTAATTCAGCTGAATTAAACACAATGGCACAAAGGACAGGTTCTGCTTTCAATAAACACCTAACTACCGATAAATGAAAGTCATAAAGTGACATATTTTTAGTGGAATATTTGTCCTAGAAAAAGTGCCAGTTTGAAATCATTAATTACAAAATATGCACAAATACTTTGGAAGGCCATCTAATAGCTTTTCTCTCACATGGATAAGAGGCATGCATTTAATCTTGCTTACCAATACCTGCCATAAATTTATTCAGGGTTCGTACGCATTTCTGCACACGGAAATTAAGTTCTTTTAAGGACCATTAATGAAAAACATTAAGGACCTATGAGCGAATAGGAACTGAATAAATTCAATTAAAAATATTATCTATACCTGAACTTCACTTTTGTAATACATCCTAAAAATAAAATAGATCCGTAAGTAGGATGCATTATTATTTAACTATGACTATTAACACAATCTATTATTAAGTCTGAGAATAAAATATCTGAATTTACTCAAGGACATTATATAAGTTTACACGTATAAAACCGAACATATTTGAAGGAGATAAGTGTACATTTTATTTACTTTTACTACCGTTAGTTTTATGTTGATATATGTTATACCTCGATTTTGTCACATACTCTTGCTCAGTCTAAGCTTTAGTAAGATAGTAAGAACCTTTAATAAGCTGTTAAGAGCTCTTTCATGAAGAAAAATTAAATATTTCGAATGCTCATGTTTCAACTCCTACTCAAAACTCGAGGATCCCACCATTTATATTAGAAATAGGAACAAATTATAATCCATGAACCCATTCAAAAGATAACCATAATTGTCAGCAAATCGCCAAAAATATTACTCCAAAATGTGAATTCACACTCAAAATGGCAGTCCTAAAAACAGACAGAAATTTCTGATGATTAAAATAAAAGACCTTCTGATGACTTTGGCCGAAATTAAGGATTTTTAAGGACCAAAAATCCATTCCAAAAAACGTAAGGACCGTACGAACCCTGTTTACTGTATTGTATAACAGGTTGTGGTTTTGATTTTATTTCACCTTTTTTGCTTATCGTTTCTACAACATCATTTTTGTATTTATTAGAAATGTAACTTACCTTTCCATTTGCCAATCATTATACCATTAGCACACTTTACTACAGTTTTGCCTTTCTTAATTTTTTCGCACTAACCTCTTCGGAAATGTCTTCCCGTTTTTTCTTATTGTCCCAGTAAAATACATTTTTTTATCTAGAAAATATTTTGTCAATTTATAGCTATTACAGCAACTGTCCATAAATACACTATGCCTAATACTTAGCATTTCTTTCAATAAATTCAGCACTATGTTTGGTGCATGCCCTTTCCTATCTAAATCATCTATCATGGCAGTATACACCATAAATTTGATAATAATACCATTAGGTTTTATAATCATATATATAACTTGAAACCATATTTATGACTTTTGTTTGGAATATACTACAGTACAAAGTCAGAAATCAAGACTCGTTGGGACTTCGGTGATTCCAGATTTGAGATTTTTCCGGATATTAGATTATCAGTTTAAATCTAGATGGCATGTAGAAATTATAAAATTAAAAATATGAATTCTTACCAAAAATCAAGGGTTTACACAAAGGTAAAATTTAACAATTAAAAGGCAATATTTATTGATTTAGTTCTACAATGTTTCAACAAATTGGAGATAATCATGATACGTCAAGTCGTTAATTCGACTTGTCGGGACTTCGCGATTTTGATTCGATTTTTCCGGATTATAGATCATCAGTTTAAATCTGGTAAGATGGCATGCAGAAATTATAAAATTAAAAATATGAAACCGTAATTTATGAAATAAAGAACAATTATGATCTAAAGGGTATCAAAATTTACAAAAAAAAAAAAAAAAAAAGCTTAATATTTATTGTTTACTTTATTAAACATTTCTTTCAATGTAAGTTGTTTAAGTTGCTTCGTTTTTATGTGATAATACATTCTCTTTAATTCTATAAACAGACATAATTTCTTGTTCAGTTACAAAGTTCCGCTGTTCAAGTCCTATAATTGCTGTGTCGAGAATACCGACTAATTTGTCAATCGAAATTTTTTCGTTTTCAATAACCTCTGTCACTTTCTTCGCTATCGGAAGCGAATTATAATGACGAGGAATTTGATTTAAATCATATCAAAGACGGAGTACATCGAGATGAAATACTACATTTAGTAAGGAATTATAAGCCAAATAAAATAAAAACATCTGCCCTGAAGATAAGGATAGTGCTGACAGATCAACTTCCAATTCATTGCGCGCCGCGGCAGTGAAATTGATAAACAGATTTAAATTTAGATAAACAAAGGATATGCCTTTATCCATTTTTTGCAGCAATTCCACTTTTTTGTTTGAATGGACTTCGAAACATACTTTCGCTTTGTAGATCCTTTACATATTAGTAAATATATATCGGAAATTCTATTTGACATAATCGAAAGTTCAAGCTTACTTTTATAAAATTGCTCTAACAGTCTGCAAAAAATAATAAGCCGGATCCAATTCGAAGATTAAGGAACAACGCAATCTGCAACATTAACTGAAATTTAGATAATTTTAGCTTAGCTTATACCGTCCGTTATACATTAAACGCGCACGCGTAAACGTATTGCGCACACGCATATTCGCAGCGTAAAGGTCTTACGCGCATGCGTCAAGCGCAGAAATTTGCTTTGAGGTCCGGATTATAATCTTTGATTAGGGTGTTAATAACGACTTTTGAACCTGTACTTTTCTTCTTAATTCTTAGGACAGACATAATCCTCTTTTGCAGACTACCTTGTTGACGTCCTTTAATTGATGTTTTGAGAATCCACT